CCCTAAACCCTATTGGGCTCCCTGGACCCTGTTAGGCGCTGCAAGGAGCTGATTGATGAGGAAGAGCTTTTCCGGGGGTACCTCGTTGGTGGGGGGGAGGGGGGTGTAGGGTTTAGGGGTTTAGGGTTTAGGGTTTAGGGGGGGGCTAGGGTTTTAGGGTTTAGGTTTCAGGATTTAGGGTAAGGGGGGTTAAGAATTGAGGATTTAAAGGCTTTAGGGAGCTAAGGGCTTAAGGTTGAGGATTTAGGCCATGCGAGTGGCGACGCCCTTGCCCCCAGACTCGGACACACTAAATCCTAAACCATGTGGTTCCCTCGCAAATAGCCAAATAATCACCAGAAAAAAACACGTGCTTATTCATTCCTCTTTGGTTGCAAGTGTAAGGCCACGACACTAATTTGCCAGGGTCTCCTTCTTTCCAGCTAAGGTTGTGAAAAGTAGACCCTGAACCCTAGACCCTTAATTCCTGAACCCTAAACCCTCAATAAACCCCTCAAGGCACCCCCCCCAAAGCCTAAACCTGCCTTTGTTCCCAAAGCATTAGCCGTCTAACACAGTAGCAGAAACCTTAAAGAAAAGCCTATTTAACCCTCGATGTATATATGTGTATATGGGTTATTTATGGGGGGTTACTGGGGTCGTTACATAGGCCTTTTTACAGGCATCGCTATCGCCATGTGGTCTTATCGCGGTTTGACAACATGTGGCTGGAGCCTCATCCGTTGATCCCGGACCGGCTGGGCTGTTGGATTCCCTGGTACCGTGGGGGTAACGACCCTTGGGCCGGCTTTTAGCAGGAAAGTGGTTTGGATACATCGCGGGTCCTTATATAGACTGCGAAATTTAGTAGACCTTCTTATGGGAGCCCACCAAGTTGCAGCTCTATTTTCTCAACATTGTTCAATGCCTAGTCCTGCAAAGGGACCCTTGGGCTCCATGCACCGTCCCTATTACCCGTGCATTTTTGAGGTGCCTAAGATTGCTGCTTCTTTGGGAAAATCAGCTTCACATCAATCTCTGGAAGCTTGTGGTTTCCCGCATAGCTAGGCAAGTGCAGCACCCAAACTGTTGTTTTCCAATCTTCCGGCCTTGCTCAAAAGATTTTTGAGGGATATGGGGCCTAATGTGAAAATGTTGGAAGTCTAAAGCCGACTGGAAGATGTGCCGGACATCTGGTCCTCCTCGTGCTGTTGAGGTTGCCATCTTGAGGACTCAGCTATTATGCAGGGTTCTAGATGTCACATCATCTTGGCACATGGCGAGTGATTTTCCAGCGTGAAGATGACGTCCACCTTTACGCCCTGAGCCCCTGACTCTTCCATACCGACCCCACTCATCTAACCCTAAACCCTAGGACTGGGGAGGTCTCAATGATCATCATGCTTGGTGTGACCGGCACAGCGCAGAGATTTACATGTCCGGCCGCTACAGCTCTGTCGTAGATGCCGCGGAACGACGGGAGCTAAGGGAGTGGCTGTGCCCAGATATTTGGACTTATATAGCGATAATGGAAAATATAAGGTTTTAAGGGTTTAGGTTTTAGGGTCATGGCTGGCAAGCCTCTTGCAAAAAGGGTCATGGCTGGATAAATGTTTAGGTCTTTTCTGCTGCGGCCCGGAACGACATGTAAGCATGCATTATGGAACAATACCCCCGCTACAAGCCACAAAGCCCCAGTACATTAGGGCTTGCCAGAGTTTAGGACTTGGATGAGAAGCACTAACCTCAAAGACCCGAAGCCAGCAGAGAACCTTTGTGGGGGCCTGTATGAGGCGGTATTGTGCCCTACAAAAAGAACAAGTTAGGGGATGTCAGGGATTATGCTCCCGAAGGAACCATGACGACCCTAAGCAATTCTACCGGATTTCCTTGTCTTTAAATTCACAATTTGTTTCTTGGGTCCCGATATTGTTGTGGCCCCTCATACTTAGGTTACCCACAAAGGGACCGCAATTTTGATAGCCCCCCCATACGGCGTCAGACAGGATTTTGTCCATCAACAGTAGGACCAGCAAGGTGGTACGAGAGCTGTGGGAAATTCACGTATCCGGGCAGTCTGAATGTGGAGAAGCATATTCGTTACATCCTGGAGAAGGCAACCGGGGGGCACCTTCCGAAGAAAAAACAGAACACCCACAGCATGTCCTTCATGCGTAGCTTTTCTTAGGAGACATTCTACCTTAATTATCCTGAAGGCGGGTCGCAGTGATCTCCTTGTCGCGATTCAATTCATCCCTCTAGGGCGCCTAAAGAGAACTTCCCTGTTGTAGTTTCCCTAAACAGGGATACCCCAACACAGCTGCCAAAATATTATAGTCCTTATTCTGGGGAACCCAAAAAATTGTACCCCTAATTTCGGTGGGAAACCCTAAGCCCCATATCGTACCCTATATAATCCCAGTTTCCATTTTCTTTTCCATTTGATTTTCCATTTGATTTTCCAGTTTAGTGCCTAAACCCTAAACCCAGATTTTGGGAACCCCCCCCCCTGTGTTGTCTTAAGAAGCCTGTCCTTCCAGGCAGGTATCCCCGTGTACCGCTTCCATGGTGGCCCATTTCGCAGCTGCGCTGCAACATCCAATTCGGCAGGACCGGGGAAGAGCTGCCGATATGAAGAAGAGCTCCTAGGTGGGCCTTGATTCTAAGGAGTTTTTAGGTGGATAGTTGGCTCCACATGAGGAGAATGGAAGCCTCATGTAAGCCTTCTGTATGTATGTATGTATGTATGTATGTAGCAGGTCTGTTTACCCATTGTACAACCGGCACGATCCCGTCATGCAGCCTTTCTATAAACTGAAATTGCCTTGAAGTTGACTTTGGTCTTGGCATTCTTGATTAGTTGTAAGGAGATAGCCTTTACCCTAAACCATCTAAAGCCCAAGCCAAACCCTACACAAGCTATCGGTCTCTGTACCCTCTAGTCAGACCAGCTCAGGTTAGGGATGCTTGGCAAAAGCAGTGGGACGCAGCTGCTGGATGTACCTGGTTCTTTATTGGGATACCATGATCAGTCATGATTGTGCAGTGTTTAGGGCTATTGGGATACCATGATTACTTATGATTACTTAAGCTTTAGGATTATTGGGATACCATGATCAGCTATGATTACTCAAGATTTAGGGTTATTGAGATAGCTTGATCAGTTCTGATTACCCAAATGTTCGGGGCTTAGGGGATTGTACGTTACTTCTTGTGTCACAATGGCCCAGGTACTGGAGCGACATCGGCAGAAGAAGCCGGAAGGCGTGCGCTGGCCGATACTTGCGCTGAATCGGGTGGATGGTGGGCAGTATCTGGCCTGAAGCTCAGGGATCAGGATGCCTAGCAAAAAGAGTACTTGGTACGGTAAGTATATTTATGAAGGCAAAAGCGATATGAGATCCCCTCTCAGCACCCGGGTATCACCTACTTACAAAATCTCCCTGACCCTCCCTAAGCCTCAAACCTTAAGTTTTCTGCTTTAGAATCATGCGAAGTGTAGGGTGTCCTCCAACAAGTATACCACGGGTCCTTATGCCCCGGTTCCGGAATAATACAGGTCCGCATGCAAGTGGCTCTTACTTTGGGAGCTGTATACCGAGGCTAGCTTTCAAACTCTTTGTCCCCTCACCCTAATCATGAATACGCCGCCCCCTTAATTGAAAATCCTCCCCTTAAAGAACCCTAAACCCTAAACCCTTAACGCGAATTCGTCCGAACAGTTACCAGGGGGTGCAGGGCTTTCAGAATCATGGGGAGGCGGTGAAAGCAAAAAGCCAAAGCCTCCTACCCCTGGACTAAACCCTGACCTTAATCCCTGTAATTATTGGTGGTTAGTAGTAGGAAATCTGGGAATATATTCTCCATGTATATATTAATATACAATATAGAGAGAGAGGGAATATGTAGGGATCATATTCCCCTACTCCCTTCTAACCGCCGCTGGTGATACCTCAAGCCCTAAACCCAAGTTCTTCAAAAGCCCTCCCAGGTATCCCCACCATCCCGCATTCCGCGAGTTCCCGTGTCAGCCGTGGCCGGTTACCGAGAAGTTTGTCTCCGGGGTAGGTTTGAGCATGGCTTTGGTGTTGCGCTTTCGGGTTTAGGGTTTGAGATTGACCCACAGACCCCCCTAATGGAACAATCCCCGTTTCCCCTTTTACTATTACATGTTACTATAACTGGGATAATTTCATTTAGGCTAATGGGGGGATTTTTTGCATCATCCCTTCCGCCGAATCATCAAAAACCCGCAGCCTACTAGCAAACGTTCCCATGCTACTGTAATGTGTTCAAGTGGGAATATTAAGGCTAAGGGCTTAGGGGTTCAGGGGTTGAGGGTTTAGGGATTATTAATGCCTCAAACTGCTTTGAATTAGGTCTTTGATTGGACGGGCCTACGCTGGCCCAAGAGTATCTGTCGCAGTGACGTGGTGGTTCACCAGAGTGATCACTGGAAGGCTGAATGCTGACATAGCTTTGACAGAATGATTCTTCTTTGACATGCTTTGGATAAGCGCTATTAAATCCTACCTTGCAATCATGAAGCTTGAGCATATCCCTTCGATGTAGAAGTTTTGTCTTGCAAGACTACGTAATTTCCAAAGTTTGTTCTCTGCGAGGGAGCCCTAAACCCTACCCTAAAACCCCAAGCCCTAAAACGCTAAACCTTATACTCTAAATCCGAAAGCCCTAAGTTAAGCCCAAAACCCGAAACCCAACCGTAAGCCCTAAAACCATGAACCCTAAAACCCTAAGCCATAAAGCCTTAAGCCCTAAACCTTGAACTCTAAACCTTTAAACCCTGAGCCCTCAACCCTAAAACCCTACGCCCTAAGCGCTAAACCCTAAGCCCTAAACCCTGAACCTCTACAAGTCTAAACCCTAAACCCTAAAACCCAAAGCCCCAAGCCTCAAACACTGAAGCCTAAAGCCCCAAGCCCCATACCCTAGAACCCTAAGCCCTAAACCCTAAAACGTTAGACCCTAAATCCTAAACCCTAACAAAACCTCACCCTGAGGCAGAGAGGGAGGTCTGGAAATTGGTCTGCCAGCTGCACATTGCTCATCTGAGATCCGGGCTTCAGCTGGCGCAACCTCCTCTACCCCCAGTGGATGCTGGCCACTGGGTAGCTGTTAGGGGTTCAGGCTTTAGGATTTAGGGTTAGGGTTCAGAGTCCGGATGCAAAAACGATTTAGGGTTAGTTTTAGGGTTAGATATACTATCTAATAGCAGATAGGGTTCTCTTATTATAGTAACTTAGTTTTCAGTCCCTTGACAGCAGCCCAGGCTACTTCCTGGCCATCGCAATTGCGGAGGCAGTGCTCCGCAGTGATGGGCCGTTTCTGAATCATTTTCTGGGATTTGCATTTTCTTCCGTTTGAAGTTGATATGAGCCATTGTCTAAACTCCTGGTATCCCCCTTAATATCCATTATAGTACTCCCCTATATAACCCCCTATATAACCCCTTTGAGGAGTTTAGACTATAGCTCATATGTCCGAACGCCGCAAATCACACTCAGACTGGGTATTCCAAGCCCTTGATCCAAGTACCTGATGGGCAAACAGCTCCGATTCCCAAATGAACCGTTAATGTTTGATGCTTGTGTTGAAAGCAGTGATACTATTATTACTATTGTTACTATTACTACTATTACCGCTATTGATATTGTTACTATTAAGTATTCTTATTCTTACCATCTTTACTGTTTTTGGTATAGTTGCTATTATTACTGTTATTCTTATTATTATTCAGGTTTGTAATGGGAACTTTCGGAGCGCGGCTGGGGCACTTGGCTGCACGCGCCGCAAAGCTCTTGAATCGAAGGGCAAGGTCCTCGCAGCTCTTTGTGGCGGAAGGTGGGGCCCATATTATATGAGCAGCTGCCCGCCCCTGAGATATAATCTCCCTTCAAGGATCTTAAACATATAGGATTGGGTGACACATTGCAGATTAGGTTCCGGAAGGGTGCTGTTCAGGCATACCTTCACGTACATGTCTGGTTGGAAGTACTGGGATGCACCCCTGAAGCATGAGGCAGTTTGACATTGGTTTCCAAGTCACTGGAAATAGCATATCTAACTTGATTCAGCACTTTGTGATGCACGACAGTTTCCTGTGTTTGCAGATCTTGGTTAGCACAGCTACTTTGGAAGGCCACTTGCCGTTGTGGCATCAGGTACATGTCAGGGAGTTGCAGGGTAGCTCGCGGGGCTTAATGGTTGAGGAAGGTGACGCGTTGTGGCTGATTGAAGTGTGGAACCTCAGTCATGAGTGCTGAGAGCCCGTGCTCTGCTAGTCTTGTTCTGGCAGTCCATGGAGCCCAGATGGAAAAGAAAGGGCTGAAACAGGTGGACCGTGGTTCTTAAGGCAGTCAATGCTATACGGACATGGGGGAGTGAGAGTGAGTTGGGTACATCACGTGGTTGCCAGTATGCAGTATGCTTGCTATGTTTGCCAACATTCTGCTTCATGACTGCTGTGGTCAACTGGGATAGGACGAGAACTCCGGCGCACTTGTGATCCCCAACTTCTGGAACTTCCTGGGGTGTAAGGGATCTCAACATTGTCTTAGACTCTGAACCTTGCACTCCAAACAAAGCTCTATGCCCTATGCATGCTTTCCTCCATCTAGAATAGCAGTCGGAGGTGCAGTGGGCGAGGAGTGGTTTTGCGAGCTGTTGCCGCAGCAGGGTGGAAATTGAGAGCTGGTGAGGACTAAGGGTTTAGACAAAGCTGTTAGAGTGCCCTAACCTTTACGCCCTAGAACCTGAACCCAAAGTCCGAAGCCTGAAGTGCCCAAAGGCCCAAACTTTAAACCCTAAACCCGAAACCTTAAATCCCCAACACGGAATCCTAGACCTTAAGCCCAAAGCTCTAGACCTTATGCCCTAGACACGAAACCTTAAGTTTGGTCAACGTTGAATATGCTTTTAAAGCAAGTGTTCATTATGGGCCGAAATTATGGGTTTCGATTAATGTCCTAATGAGGAACCAGAAAACCTTGGACAGTGCCACAACTCGGCAATAGTGGGGTAATACTCATTAAAGTATCGATGCCAAAAGCCCTTAATGCTACTCCTATCACATTGCCAACCTATCGGAGACTGTGCCTGGGTTGGGGCAGTACCCAACCCTAAACCATAGACTCATGACACAGGCACAACGAAGAAGCAGTAAACCCTTAAGCCAAGGCAGGTGTTTCTGGAAGACCTGCAGAAGGTAGATCTCCGCTGTGGCCAGACATCCGTGGCTGCATTCTTGGAGTGGCTTGAGGAGCAGGCGGGTTTAGGGTGAGGGGGAGAGGGGTCAGAATCATGGGGGTGCAGAGGGATGTAGGGTTTGTTGCTTCAGGGTTTGAGGGTGTGGGGATTGGGATTTACGGGTGTAGGGTCTGGGGTCATGAAGTTCAGGGGTTCGCAACTTGGGTTTTGGGTCATTAGTGTTTGGAGATTAATTTTTAGGTTTGTGATTGAGAAGGAGCCACAGGACCACATGTGCTGATAACATCATCCTGAGAAGTTCATAGACACGGTGATGCTAGACACGCCCTGTGCGTCCCTAAAATAGACGCTTCCCATTTGTATCTGACTTGATAAGTTTGTTCAGAAATGCAGATATGTGCCAATATTGTGGTCGTTTCTTGGGCACCCCTGTACCAAGGGTCCTCCACCACTGGGTAGGTTTCTAGGTGCCTTCATCTTGGCTCGTCGGGTTGCAAGAGCTTTGTAGGCGGTTAGAAGCCCGATGGCATTCTTACCTATGCCCTGAATGAAGAGCCCTATAATGTCCTCGCAATATAACCCAGCGCCGCCAAGGGGTTCCCTTGTTGAGAGAGAACCTCTTCCTGCGGAGACTAAGGTTTCTGTAGCTGTGCCTCAGTCCTGTAACCGTTCAACATAACATCCTACATGGTGTCATGGGGCAAACAGGATGTTGACTTAGGTACACAACAAACCCTAAATCCTAAGCCCTAAACCGCTGAACATTGCGGCCCTAGAGCTTGTGGTATCCCAGCCGACAGGCCCATGTGGACCTTGTCCTCCTTTCCGCGAGCCACGCATCCTCGCTGAGGGAGTGGAGGGAGACTTTAATGACGCGCGCTGACACGGTGGCCATCCTGGACGTGACTGGTTGCAGCTCAAGAGCAAACCTGAAGCCCAATGTCAAGCCCTAAAGCTCAGGACACACCTTGTCACGGAGTAGTTTCTTAAGTTAGTTGCGTGGCCTGCACAAAGGTTTATAGGTAGTATGTTCGAACCTCAAAAGCCCGGCAGGGAATACACGTTACAGGTTTAGTGTGCTCACAATGACCCAGGTGAAGCACGAGGAGCTTTCTCGTCTGGCGTGTTTGGCCTGGGTGGTGTGGCCTGGGTGGTTTGGGGTTGTGTAGGGAGTGTATGAGGGCTTTTAGGGTTTATCTTTACGGGGATGATACAGAGTTTGGGATGTCACCCCAAATAATGGAGAATCAGCTGGGAAATGAAATAGACATTCATATCACATAGAGATTTTACTACATAGGGCAACACTGGGCAAGAATCCGCTTCCCGAATAACAACCCCCTGCCCTGGTAATCATAAATACTCCCAGTATAGTACCATTGCAGAACGGAACGCTGTCGGCTCCATTTTTGCGTAGGTAGCTTGTTTAGTTGTTGCAAGTAATTCTATGCACAGCCTTCCTTTCCGTATTTTGATGTGACGCTGACGTGTTTAAACAGCAGTCAGAGTTACTTTTAATCCGCGAAGAACCCAAGAGAAAGAGCAGGAGGATGATTAGCAGAAGGAGGAGGAGGAAAAGAAACACAAGGAGTATTGGCAAGCGAGCAGAGCAGGGGGGGGGGACAAGGGGGCCAAACAAAAAGGAAAAACAAACACAAAAAGGTGGGCCCTAGACCCCCATCTTTTGGCCATCACCCCAAACAAAGCCCAGCTACGAAGTTCCAAGTATAAGACCCATAGGTCTTCCTTGTTGCTTTTGCCAGCAGGGGCGACTTGTCGGGAACTTCCTTCGCGCTTTGCGCAGAAGACCTCGACCTGGGACCCGACAGTTCCAACAAGTGCGTGATCATCCGGGGCGATGGTTCCTTCGTCAAAGGCAAAGTGGCTGTGTCTTGGCGTCACGCTAGACTTATTGAGTGGAGTTTGCCAGTTATGTGTCGGCTTCGATGTTGCTAATTCTCTGCGTTCGTCGTTTGATTGTGTGTGTTGGCTGCTGGCTGTTCTATTATGTTGTCTGTTGTTTTCTTGTCCGTCTAAGTGTTCACTTGATCCTGAGTAATGATCGCGGTCTCCTGATTTGTCTGCGTCCGCAGACAAGTGTTTTTTTATATTAGTTTTGTTCGATTTTTCGTTCTCGTTGATTTATTGGTCTTGGTTTGTCAGTCTTGGTTCGTTTTCGTGTGTTTGCCGACTTGCTTGTTGTTTGATTGGAGTTTGGCTTTTGACTGGCGTTGTCGTTTGTCGAATGTCTCAGAGCAGGGAAAGCTTGCAGGGAGGAACTGTAACATATCCTGTGTGTGTTTGTTGGCTGTGCGCTTTTGTCACGCGCTGCGTGGGGCGCGCGCCTAGACGGCTGCGAACCAGGTGCGGCGGTGTCCGAGCCACAGCCCGGAGGACATCTGCGTCCTGGAGGCGGTAGAGCCACTGGGCAGCTACACAGGCTCCGCGAAGTTTCCTCTCATGTTCCATGATGTTCAAGACACGTGTGATGTGCTGTGAACAAGAAACATTGCCAGCAGGTCCTCTGCCACTCAACGCTATAATGTTCAGCCGCGATGGGGTGATGAATACCCGCATGGCCGGCGGCTGCTTGGTGTGCATCAGCGTTGCCTGTGTGTCAAAAAGGCGTGCCAGGTTGTGGGCTATGTTTTTCGTGCGAGGTGATTTGGACGGCGACGAGGGCTCTTGGTGCCTGTGGCTTACAATGTTATGCTTCTACGCTGTTCTGCGCTGTTGGTGCAAGCGATGATGGTCCAGCGATGGCTGCTAAGGCTTATTGGAAGGTCTTGTCGACTTCGTAGAGAAAACGCAGAGTTTCGTGGACAAGCCTGACTTCAAGGTCGGGGTTTCAAGCAGGGCTGTCAGGCTGTTTGAGTGTGAGTTCTAAGTTCTTGGTGAGTGGAGTCAGCGTCTGATGATGGAGGCCATAAAGACGGAGGCCTTTCAAGGCCTTCACGCCGTGGAAACGAAGTGGAACGTCTCCAAGGAGCGTAGTCGCTTGGCTGCAGCGTGCTGGTCGGGTGTGTGACTCAATGCGGATCAACCTGTGTGTGTCTGTCTCTTTAATGCCTGGGATGTCGACTTCGTCGACTTTGTTATCCACCTTGACAACCCCTATGTTTGTGGGGTCATCGCCAACCTCAGTGGCCGCGCCGCAGGCGTGTTGGGAACCTGATTTCGGGAGACGTCTGTTCACTTCCTAATAACAAACCTAACAAACTCCCCCATGCCCCCCTCCTCCCAAAAAGTCAAACTTGTATGCGACGTTTTTTTTTTGCAATCATGTATCAGGGGTTGGGGTAGTACTCAGTAGTAGTAAGGGCACCAACACAAGTAGTGCAAGCAGTAGAAAACCTTCAAAGGAATCAGGGTATGTTGGGTGTGGAGTTTTTTTTTGCCGCCCTGAAGGTGTTGGGACTCTGAGCTTGTTAGAAAGCAAAGGTGGGGAGGTCTTCTTACCGCCCCCTTATGAGTGGCAGGTCAGCGTTGACTAGGTGTCAGTCATCTAAAATATTTAGAATATCCAGTCATGTCTACTTCCTCCCTGTGACAATTTTGGCCATCAAGAAGGGCGACGCGCGATCAATCAATGTGGCGCTGATTCTGGCCACACTCGCCCATGCTGCATCTCGGTCCAATGTAGTTGTTGTGGCGTATTGAGTCTTGCACGTTCGACGGCGTGTTGTGCGCGGACGCAAGCCGTGGACACGCCAAAGACCTACCCGGCGAAGGATTTCTTGTAGTACTGCGAGAAAATCTGCGAGAAGTTCTGCGTGCCCGTCGACGGGGACTTGTCCGCCATCATGGCTGCGCGGTCCTCATGTCTCACTCTGATTTTCTGCTTGCTGGTTCCCTGCTGCGGGTTCAGGCTAAAATGATGCTGGAGGGCTGGGACATCGACAATGAGTGGAAGCTCCTGGGCAACGACGGCAGCAAGGAGCAGGCCTTGCAGAGTTGCGTCGCTTGGTAGCATTTTTGAGATTGTCGTGTGGACAGATATAGTCTTGCGGGCAATTTACTAGCTTGCAACTTGCAGGGCTGCTGAGTTCAGACCTTGCGCTTTGTAGTTTCTTGCTGCTGCGGTGATGTGGCTGCTAGCCAGCTAGTCGTAGGACGGCGGGGGAGCACTTATTGTTGGACGAGCTCGCCTATCTGGTGGGGAAGCAGGCCAAAGTCGCAGATGCCCCGATCTTGGCGGTAGATTTTTTGGAGGCATGGCTGCTTTCGATTTAGAATGCTCATCTGGTGGTGCGTCTTTTCTCCAGGCGTGGAACAAAGCCAAACTGGCCGGCTATGGATGCCTCCTTTCCTTTTCCAGGACCGCTACCAACATACACTCGGCACGGTTGTCGTAGGATCACGGTGTGCGCAGGAGCTCGCAGTTCTGAGAGGCGTCTCACACGGCTTTAGCACAATGGCTCACACTTGTGAGAAAATAAAAGATTGCATGTTCCGTCTGTGATCTCAAATCGCTTGCGGCGTAATCAGAATGCCTCAGCGAAATCAAACGATAGGGTGGTCAGAAGGAGCTTTTCATTTAAGGTCAACAAAGCAGGGCTTTTAGGCCTAAGCCTTAAACAGTGTAAGCGACTTCTCTCGTACAGAGATGACGAGCTTGTTCCAGATGGAAATCAATTATGGGCGACAAATACACAAATACAATTGTTTCCTTCCCACTAGTTCATGTCCAAACTCACGTTGATTGAGCTTGAACGTTGGCATGTCATGTGATGTGCTCGGAACATGTTACCACAAGAAAGCTATCTGGCGCGTAGCGTTGCGGCTCACCAGTGACCAGATTCCTGAGATCAACTCCCATCTCCTCTCTTCGACTAAGACGCAGCAAACTCAGACACATTTCAGAACGTGCAGTGTCGATTAAGTTGAAGCATGTCATCACTTGACGCTTGAGCGGACAGGATGCAGTGCCCCACCTGCCGCATCGAGCTGCACGGGACAGCAGTGTCCTCGGATACTCTGACTCATGTTGCCCTTCGTCTGCTTTATTGCGAGGTGCGCGTCTATGGGGTGGTCGGCAACGAACCCTGCGTTCTGTGCCTGCAGGATGATAATGCCAGACATTCGCATTCTGCTCTTCAAATGCGTACACACGCTTGACAGGAGAAAATAGAGATCCACGCAGCCACCCCCTGCGGCCACACGTTCTGCAAAGCCTGCATAGATGAGCTTTACGCGGGGACCTCAAGACTCAAGCATCCATTCAGCCATTCAGTAGCAATGCATCGCGTGAACGATCACACAAAGCCCATGCCGCAAAACGCCTGAGGGTATGCACCTCTGATAGCCAAAGCCTTAAACCCATGAACCCTAAACCCTAAACCCATAAACCGTAAACCCTAACCTTAAACGCATAAATCGTAAACCCTAAACGTCCAAGCCCAGAGCAAATACCCCCCCCCCCCCAAACCGATGTCCTTAGCCTTGCAAGCAGGAGAAAAGCGGCTTCCTTGCGCAATTGGACGGCTGGGTGATCATCCACGAACCTGGGTCATGCTGGAAAACGGCTTGAGCTTAGGAGATTCAGGTTCAGGGCTCGGGGTTTAGAGTTTAGGGTTCAAAGTTTAGGGTTTAGGGTTTAGAGTGTCGTGCTTCTCATCCTTGATGAGGCTCTCCGTGTCTTTGGTAATCTGTTTGTACGAGAGATTTCCGGGCTGCATAGGTTCCATGTGGTTTCGATGCCTTTAAAGTCATCTGCAAGAGCTTTTTTTTCTGGGATGTTTTGTGGACAGCACCCCCCGATGTCACTTGGGATGTATGGCGTCCGGGGCATGCTGCGGAGGGGTTAGGTGAAATTTTTTGGTCTTCGGTTTGGCAGGTGCGATCAAGGTAAGCTTGGGACAGGGTCCCTTCCATGAACTGAGTTTTCCGAGATTTTTGTCCTTGACCCAGCTCAAGTCCATAAAGCATTGGAATATTCAATGCCTTGATGTCTAGGGTTCAAAGACTACTGTGCGCAATCTCAGCTTTCTTCTTAGAACATTCAGCAGTGAAAGTTAGGATTCTTGTTAGGGTCTTCGGGGAAGGTAGAGAGATGCCATTCAAAACCAAGGACTCGACGTGTGCAGACGTCCTGAATGGCCCCCTG